TTAAAATTATATTTCTAAAATAAAAGAATTTTCTATAATAAAAATAGCCTAAGTTATTCCTTATTGTATCAGCTACCTGCCAATAAAAATCTCGTCAAAATCGGTCCAGCCATTTCAGTTATAAAAATTATATTTAATAATAAAAACATGAAATTTCATCTACATAGTACAATAAGCAGATAATTTGAACGTATATACGTGTTTATAGGCACATATTACTAGGTAGAGTTTTCTATAATCCGTTGAATTTAAAAAGAAAAAATACCGAAATTCGAATGTTCGTGTCACAACACGAAGCCAAACTATACTTCATCCATACTCACTAACTTTTACAAAGTATAGTGTGATATTTTGCGTATGAGAGAGCACTTACGGTACTTACAGAAAAAAATATTAAAAAAAATGTTTGCCTGTCTGTTTGTTCTTGCTAATCTCTAAAACGAGCGGACTGATTTCGACGGGATTTACACTTGTAAATTGCTAATGTTACACGTAGCACAGATAACATAATATTACATACACGTAGTAACTTGGGTTACCTTTATTTAAAAAAAATATTTATTTTTCATAAAACAAGTTAAATTCCACTCGACCGAAGTCGCGGCAAACAGCTAGTGTATTATAAAAATAATAAAGTATTGTGTGCGGTAAGTCGGGAAGGCACCCTGCGGTCACCCTGCCGTGGGGTGGTACGGCCGACCGCACGATTTTGTACGTCTCACTACACATTTCTACCGTTCAGGTTTATTATCTAAACTAGTGGCTCCATACATATTCTATTAAACAAGGTTACCTGTAAAGGGTTTATCAAGCTGAGAGCCAGGTATAAGCTGAACCACTTCCTTCCCTTTTTATCCCATTTCGGGAATCTAAATTATAACGGTCTGAGGTTTGAAAACTAAACTCGAATACATCCGGCAGGACATGGTGTACATCCTTCCATTCCAGTCATACGGACTGGACTCAGCACTAGCCCTTTGCGGTGATATTGAGGGCCCTCGGACTAAACTCGAATACATCCGACAGGACTTGGTCTAGATCCTTCCATTCCAGTCATTCGGAGGGCACGCTGCACTTGCCCTATCGTCCGGTGATATTGAGTGCTCTCAGACTAAACTCGAATACATCCGTCAGTACTTAGTCTAGATCCTTCCATTCCAGTTATTTGGGCGGCATTCGGCGCTTGCCATTTTCGTCCAGTATTATTATAAAAGACAATAGCATTGGATTGAGAGCATGGGGATTGTCTACTAACAGTATTACAATAAGGCGGCCATATTGGTAAAACCAATGATTTCAATCCACATTTAGAAATACACTTCAACACTACGTACGTATGTATGTTTGGTAATAAAAACTCTAAAATAAACTTAGATAATAAAAAAAAGTATATATTCATGAATTTATATAATCTATATGTTATTCCATTATTATTATATGGTATAAGGTATATTATTGTAAAGTTTCATTGAATTTCATTTAGTACTTTTTGCGTGAAAGAGTAACAAACATCAACCTATCCATCCACACTTCTGCTTTATTAATATTAGTAATATGATGATTGTACTCTTAGTATATTTCGATTTAGTTAAAGTTTTAATACTAATTGCAACATAAAATTAAATGACGAATCTCTCGAATTTATAGAATCTACTGTCTTTCTAGGAATCACACTAGATAATAAAACACAATGGGGTGCACAAATTCAAAGCCTTGCAGCGAAACTAAGTTCAGCAGCTTTTGCCGTGCGTAAGGTTAGACAGTACACAGATACTGATACTGCTAGATTAGTCTATTTTAGTTATTTTCATAGTTTATTCTCTTATGGAATATTACTATGGGGAAAAGCGGCAGATATTAAAAATATATTCATATTACAAAATCGTGCCGTTCGAGCAATCTACTGTATGAAGAGTCGTGACTCATTAAGACAGAAATTCAAAGAGGCAATTCTCACCGTTGCTTCTCAATTCATATATTCAAATATCCTACATGTTCATAAAAATCTTGACTTATTTCCAAAAAACAGCGATATTCATAATATTAATACTAGATTTAAAGACAAACTTGCTGTCCCCAAGTATCGTTTAGAAAATTAACAGAACAATCACATTGCGCCTCATTCATTGATTTCATTAATTTATTGTAAATAAAAATTTGCTAAACCTATTTAACAGGAGTAATGTAACGACACAGAAAACATCTATTATGTAGGTAATAAGTTCTTTTAATACAATGAGCACTTGATACCTATCCGTTTTTTTTTCTTTATAGCACATTCGGAATTATTACTGCTAGACCAAGGGCGCATGCCAGTGGTTTCGCTCACGTGAAATTTATAGCTTGTGTTATTATGATGTATAAGCTAGATTATTGTAGTTTCATTAATATATATTCAGCAGTTTTTACGGGAAAGACTTACAAATATCCCTCCATATTCACGAATTTTCGCGTTTATAATAATTAGACAACTTTATGTTTGTCTTTGCTTAATGAAATAAATAATTAAGATGCCTTTTGTTTCTATCGTTACACAATTATCTTCATTTTCAGAGCTTCTTTCATGCATATAAGCCAGTTTTGATGACTCTTCTAGAGACTTCTCTGTCAGACAAAAAATGATTTATCATAGTTTAGTCTGGTCAGTTCTCCATACCTGCGTCCTTTCATATTCTCATATTTTTTTTATTAGGGGCTTTTTGACTTTTGTCTAGTGCTAAAACCTGTAACACTGTAACCGGCATAGATCTATTGTGCTCGCCCTTTTTCAAAGTTCTCATTATAAGTATGTATTGTTTGTTAATACATATATGGTGTTTTATATAATACTCATCATTCACCACACCTCTTTTTCCATCAAGTAGGTTAAACAAATTGAGCATAGATATTTACCTTCTCATAATATTTTCACATTTTTTTTGCCACGCACACGTGCATCAGAAATACCATTGCTGGAAGGTAATTCCGCAGAATTACCTTCCAGCAATGGAATTACCTTCCAGCAATGGTATTTCTGAAACGATATGGTATAAAAAATTTACGCCTTCCTAAAAGACCGGCAAGTTACTTGCAATTCTCCTGGTATTGTAGTGTTCAGATATACTTTCATATGCATTTAATGAATAGTTGTTAATTTGAAAATCCCGACAGTTCTACTTTATTTTATAGTATATTTTTTTAGAAATACAAGAAAATAAAAATATGCTTATATTTATTTATAATTGAGTAGGTACGTAGCTATCAGTCGAATTTGTAACCTGATAGTTGTTTTATCAGAATCGGTCAAGCGATTAACGAGATATAATTTGACCCCTTTTTGTATCAATATCACAATAGTAACAAATGGGTCTAAAATGAAATGTAAGTGATGTTGTGTTACCAAAGGCGTCTCAACAATCCAACGACTTATCAGATATTGTAGCAAAGAGACAGTCTGTTACAGTGTAAGTCTTTGGGTTCGTTTTTTGCTGACATATAGGTATAATATTTTTGTATTTATGGTGTTCAGGAATGCGACAATGATATACACACATCTCTCTCCCTTCAACACAAACACGACAACTACAGTCGGCAAGAGAGAACAGAACAGAACAGAAAAGTTATTTATTGATTTACATATAGGTATATTTAGAAGGTTACTAACTTATAATACGGTCCTAATTTTATTATTTCGTAAAACTTACCAAAAATAGTAACTAACTCTACTACTACAGAGTAGAACAGAAAATTCTTTATTAAAATATAACTTAAATTTAAGCATTTTAATAGTCATATTACTTTTTTTTATTATTGTACACACAATCAAGTTATTTATTTTTTTAAGTAAACAGTATTAAATAAACTATGTTATTGAGAATGGAAAGTAACGCCATAATTAGGAATAAATAGATCCTTAATTTTTACATAAACTCTTCAAGTAAGTTAAAAACCATCGTTACAATTAAATACCCTTGTTCCTGACGGGTCTAGGCAGCAAACTTTGAAAAAGGGCGAGCACAATAGATCTACATATGTATGTAGGTTGCAGTGCTACGATTCAAGCACTTAACAATAGCCCAAACTCGCCATTAAAAAAATAAAAAAAAACACATAGAAAATATTCATATAGATACATCTTGATTACGTTAATGATAGTTAAGTCTCAAGTTAATGATAGTGGAGAAGAAATTTTTCCTGACAACGAATAATATTACATCCAAATACTATTCAGAGTATATATCAGCTGTCAATGTTTTACGTATATTATTGGCCTTTAATTTTAAATCAAAACATTTCTCATCGCACTACAAAACGACAAATAAAGAACTAACTTACTAACTAAAGAACTTACAAGTATTAGCAATTTTATATTTTCTTTCAAGTTCATATAGCAAGAAGTGAAATTCCCCTCTATTTCTATATTTTTCGTTTCAGATGGTAACCATATTTTAAAATGCAATATGAATAAGGATTTCATCAAAGCTTTCCACCAAACTCCTGTTTAAGCTCTAGTTTGAGAAATTGTCCATGTTTTGGCTAAAACAATGCAATTTCTAATATGGAAATAAATAAGACTCTAGTAGTAGACCATTGTACAATGGTCTACTACTAGAGTCTTATTTATTGGGTAAATGGGTCTAAAATGAAATGTAAGTGATGGTGTATTACCAAAGGCGTCTCAACAATCCAACGACTTATCAGATATTGTAGCAGAGAGACGGTCTGATACAGTGTAAGTCTTTGGATTGGTCTTTTGCTGACATATAGGTATAATATTTTTGTATCACCATAAATACTAATAATATTCAGGAATGGGAAACAATGATATACACACATCTCTCTCCCTTCAACACAAACACGACAACTACAGTCGGCAAGAGAGAACAGAACAGAAAAGTTTTTTATTGATTTATATATATGTAGGTATATATTTTTTGAGAAATTGTCCATGTTTTAGCTAAAACAATGCAATTTCTAATATGGAAATAAATAAGACTCTAGTAGTAGACCATTGTACTCATTTATGCTAAAGTTCGTTGTTGCCAGCCCTCTCTTTCTACGAGTTTCAGCTTAATCGCCTCCGCAGGTTGGATTATAATGGTTGTTACCCCTAATTGTAGCTTACGAGGAGTATCCTCAGCCAACTCTACGCGGTATTTCTTGAGTAATGTTATAATGCCAGCCATCATCTGCATTCTCGCGAACCGCATACCTGAGAACGAATAATTCAATTAGATTTTAAACAACTTTCTTTTAAAATCTAACAAGATAGTAAATAACAATAGTTGAGACTTTTACAAATTTTTGTCCGAGATTTGGGTAATTAGGTGTTCATTTATAGTTAAAAATCGTATTGTGAGGATAAATTTTTGCATATACACATGTCATTAAAATTTAGTAGTGTCCCATAGGTCAATTGTATAAATATTAGTTTTATTAGTAATATTTTCTTTTTTCATTCTGTGTTATTCTAAAGTTAACACAATGAAAACATTTATGTATACGGAAAATGGAGTTTATTTACATTATTTACTTTTTTAATTTATTACCTGCTACCGTGTTTACGAATATTAAATTTTGAATTAAATATACTTTTAGAATAATTTAAATATACTATTTATAATTTTGCCTGGTTGATGTTTTGACCAACGGACATTTTCGTTGGGCCATATGGATTTTACTTAATGATCGATAAAACATAAGTTTATTTTGTGTTAAGACCTAATTAAGAGTTTCCATACCAGAATTTGCCTAGCTTCATTTCATTTTCTTACTTTAAAGTAATTAGCCTAATTATTACATAATTAATATTACCTATACACAGTCGAGGTCCTTCTCCAAATGGAAGATAAGTATACGGTTTGATATTTTGTTTCTCATCTCCGTAGAATCTTTCTGGACGATATTCTTCAGGTTCTGGAAAATAGTCGGGATGACGGTGTATATGATACACAGGGATATGGATGCGCACACCCTTATCCAGTACTGCACCACATGGAAGAGTATATTCCTCTACCACCTCACGTGTTAGAACTCCAAGAACTGGATACAGACGCATAGCCTCGTTGATACAAGCTTCAACGTACGGTAACTCTGTAACACACTCGTAACCCAATTTGTTTTTGTGACGAATTAAATAGTCATCTATTTCTTTAAGTGCTTTATCTTGTGCCGCTGGACTCTTTGCAAGCTCATACAGTGTATACTGCAGTGTGGTAGATGATGTTTCGAAACCAGCCGCAAAGAATAGTAAACATTGTGCTATAAGAAATTCATCATCAACTTTGAGAGTTATTTTTTTATCGTCGCCTTTCATATTTGTTATTCTGTCACCGGTGATATATTTTTTTTCATTAAGACCCAACACTAGATCTACAAAGTCGTTTCTCATAGATGGCTTGTATTGTCGTTCGATAAATACTTCTGTCATCAACTTGTTAAAGAATCTATCCACTTCCGTGGGGAAACTCTTCATGCCAACACCATAAAAGATTGCGGGCCAGATAGCGCGGGCGAAAACTTTGAAACCCCTATAATAAGTTTCTAAAAATATAGCCCTCCCTATATGAGTAAAGGGATTATCATATGAAGCCTTTTCCATAGTTTTCGTATCTATGCCAAAAGCACATGTGCCTATACTATCCATTGTGTATCTGGCTAAGAGTGTCCTAATTTCTAAAACAGGACTCTTACCGAATTCATAATCAAGCATGTCTTCCAGAGTGTGAGAGCACTTTTCAATCAAATAGAACATGCTCTTCATTTTGGATGATGAGAAGAGTGGAGTTAAGTTTTGCCGTAACACCTTCCACCTATCTCCGAAAGTGAAGAACAAGTTTTGGGTGATAACTTCCTTATGAGTATAATTTGAGATTTCCCTACTGTTGCAATAGTAGAAATCTTTCGTTAGAATTTGTTTTATAATATCTGGGTCTTGAACCATGAGCGTAGGTTCAGTTCCATAGAAGGCGCCGAAGTATGGCGCGTTGGGGTATTCATGACATATCGATTGGGCTACTTCCGGCATAGACTTTCTCATAAGCAAATATTCACCATAATTACCTAGAACAGCTACTGGTTTCGCGTAGGGTACGTTCCGTTTAATCCAGTAATTATTTCTAGTCTTAATGATGTAGTAGACTATTAACAAAATCGTTGTTAAAGCTACGAGTACTAACTCCATCTTTACTGACAATAAACTGCGAGCCGCGATCGCAAAACGCGTATTTTAAGTGGTTAAGTAATGTGACCATACTTCCGCATATCAACGGAACAAATAATATATTAATTTACATCAATTTATAATTTATTCTAAGATTCTTTAATACCATTCACAAATATTTTTTTTAATTTGAATGTGATAATTTCGCATTTATTGACTATACTTATATTTGGACGGCCTCGGTGGGCTGACGCTTTAGCACACCACTTCTCGCCTTTCCGATGGTCGCGGGTTCGAATCTTCCCACGGTAAACATTTGTATTCGTAAGTATGATAATATGTATCGGTCTAGGTGTTTTCTATGTATACTATGTATGTATGTATTTGTATGTTATAAAATAAATATCTAAGTATTTATATCTATCGTCTAGCACTCACACAAGCGCTGCTTACCTTGGGACTAGATGGCGTTGTGTAATTTTTTTTTTTATAACACAGGGGACAAACGAGCATGCGGCTCACCTGATGGTAAGTGACTACCGCCGCCCATGAGCACCCGCAACACCAGGGGAATTGCAAGTACGTTGTCGGCTTTTTAAAAAGGAATAAGCTCTTTTCTTGAAGGTTTCAATATCGTATCGGTTCGGAAATACTATTACTGAAAGGTGATTCCATAATGTGGTTGTACGAGGCAAAAAGTTTATAGAAAACCGCACTGTGGAAGACCGCCATTCATCCAGATGATCAGGATGGTATTTCAGTTTCTGGCGGGTTGTACGGTGTTGAAACTCAGCAGCTGGTATTAATCCGAACAATTCCTCAGAACACTCCCCGTGATATATGCGGTAGAATTTATCCAGTTGAATGTAATTTGAAAATAAATTAATAATAAAAATATATTATTCTGTTTTTGACGACATTAATATAACTGTAATGGAAACACGATGTAGGCGACATATTAATACATTATTATTATAATTTTTAGTAGTTAATATTTATATTCTACATATACGTAGGTATATATTATGTTGAGTCGTCCGTCCGTGCAATTTTCATAAAAAAGGATACAAAGTTCTTGCTCCATGTATACTTATACGTTTTATCAAATTTAAAGTAAAAAATAATTTATTTATGTAGGACATATCTTCGATAATGGTATAATAGAAAGACTCCTTATGATCTACTTGTCATCCTCATCCTGGTCCATCCTGAAATTAGACTTGATAGATAAAGTATCATAGAAACGATTTCATACTATTTTTTTAAGTTGTTCGAAATGTTGGTCTTCCTAACAAATTTACAATCTTTAACAAATTACTGTGATAACATGTATGGGACTGTTCTGCTCCGTTATTTATTTTTAGGGTTCTTCAGTCATTGTTCAGTATTACATTACTAACGTTTTCCAAATTTACTTCATTTCTAAGCCCCCATATAAAAATAGGGATGTTTATCTCTTTCTTTCTTTATTTGACGTATTTGTGTATCTGGACTGTGAATTAACTGTTTATGATGCGGTTTTTTTTGTTTGTAAACTGACATGATCCATTTACTGTGTGTTAAATATTTATTCAGGTTTCATATTACACTATCAATTCTTTATATTCCTTATTAACTTCTGTTTAGATTTTTTGGGGTTATTTAAAATAGATCATGTATTATGTCACTTTACTCTTTATAATTTAATTTCTTTACTTTTCTTTAGTTCTACATTATCTCTGTCGGCATTTCCGTCATTACTATCTACTATTTGATTAATTTTGTATTTTTGTGTCGCTTTTTGTATATGTATATACAATTTATGACATTCTCTGCACTACACATGATTAACTGGTGAAATATTCCGCAAATTCGCCATATGTACTTCTATTTGTATTATGTGCATTACAGTTATCATTATATTAGTAAGTGAAGCTAAAACATTCTACCTCCTTTTTATGAATATTGCGTGGAGGGAGGAGTATGAAATACATATATACAGAAGGAGTGCAGAATGTATAATATAATGTCACAATGTAAGTTACCACACTCCTTTCAACCGGCTTGAGCATTTTTTATGAAATTTATATACATACGCAGTAGATCTGAAAATCGGCTGCTATCTGTTTTTCATATCCCTACGTGATAAGGGTTGTCCACCCCTAACATTTATTTTTTATTTGTTGGACAAATTTTATTTTGTTATATTTATATAATGTGGCATTAAAAATACATACAACCCTTAATTTTCACGCCTTCACCACCATAAACCCTTATTTTGAATAGCTATTTTCATTTATATGGCAAAATCGTTTGCGGGGTTAGCTAGTTAGGTATAAAATATATTAAACGAAAAAAAACATTGCACACATTACTAATGTTAAAACTTATTTGAATTAATTCTAGCCGAATTTCGATCTAACTAATATAAATAAATAAAATAATCCTATTTAATTAGAGAACCTCAATTAAATAAGATTATTGTCACACCGCTTCATTTTTTGAAGCAATCCATATCTCCTAATCATATTGAACTAAATAAGCAAAATAATAATATACAAATAAATATATATAATTTGTGCGTATTAGCTTTTGTTTGTAACAAAAAATACCTAACAATGTATGAGTTGACACGCCAACAAGGCGTAAACCCTGTATCATCGTAAGCACAGATTTTTATATTAGAGTCCGTTAGTTTTCTGTTCCCGCGTCTTTCCTTCCCCTCCCTTAACTAGTAACAAACGGACTATAAAGCGGCCTTGACGCGCGCGCGCATTTGTTGTGAATTGAAATAAATTAGAACTGTGTTAACCTACTGTGAAGCTGGAAAGCTAGCGAAGATACCTTCGAGACCCTGAAGCCCAAGAAATCCGCAGAACCATAAAGGTAAATGACTGACGCTTCCCTAACATTTTGGTAGCAGAGTAGTTTACCAAACAATTGGCTAATTAATATTATCGTCGAATGAACGTAATTATATTATTTTTATAATTATATTGATCATCACTCCAGCGTCACAGTAATAAGATAAATATAAATTTGTTTACATTATATCAAAAGGCCATATCATTGTTGACTAGTTTTGCTATACTATTATGCTATTCTATGGTTATGTCTGGCCATAATTGTGTATAATTTTGAAATTTTCAACAATCATGGATGCTTGTAGTAGACTCATTGTACATTGTTAATAATAACAAAGGTTTAAGTAATAATCTAGAATGAATAGCAAGGCATATGTTATCAATAGAATAGAATAGGATAAAAAATGCTTTATTCAAATAAACTTAAATTAAATCACTTTAGAATAATCATACTTATTTTTTAATCTACCGCTCATTAGGAAACCTATCTTGTCACAATAAGAACGAACAAGAAAGTTGTGTGTTGCTCTTTTAATTATTTAAAATTCATTATTAAATTTAACTGTATTAAAAAAAACAAAAATACAACATAAGAATAAATCAGTCCCAGTAATTAGACCAGACCAGTACCCATAAGGAGAATTCGTTCACGAGTATGACGGATGACCAGCCATCACTGCTCGACCATATATTAGAGAGCACAATGCCCAATCGTCAATAATATTCATCATCATCATCATTAGCCCACTACAATCTACTGCTGGGCATAGGCCTCTTCGAAGGCATGCCACTGGGCACGATGTTCAGCCCTTATCTTCCATTTATTACTTTCGTGTTTGCTCGTTGCTCAATTAGGTGTTTATTATTAATAATACTGCAGATGTATTATTTATGACTTTTATTATATATGGTTATATTACTTATATTTAACACGACAACCCTTTGTTATGTGACTCGACTCGACACACAGACAGACCATAGACCAAGTAATTAATCATAACCATAGACACATATTTTTATGGCTCTGAATACACAACAATTACCAGCAACACTACGTATGTCGTTGTTCCACTTAGTTGCGGGGCGTCCTCTGCTACGTTTACCAATTTGCGGTCTCCACTCTAGAATACGTTTATTTTGTCTATTCTAGCGACCATCGGTTCTGCGACAGATATAACCAGCCCACTGTCATTTCAACATGCTAATTAGTGGAGCTATGACCTTAGTTCTCTGTCGAATTATTTCATTACGGATTTGATCCCTTAGAAAATGCTTAGTATACCTCTTTTCATAGCTCGTCGAGCGACTACAAGTTGCATCGTCAGTGTATCATAGATATTACATACTACGTTACTCGCGTTACTTTGTCTGCATCACACTTACCTGACATTTATTATTATCCTGTTTTCGCCTACGAGATTTATTTTTATTAACCATGTAGTACCCTCAGTACGACTAGCCATTCCGCACACAATATTAAGCGTAGTAGGGGTAAAAAGAAAAAAGTGGGGAGAGCTCTCCCCTCCACTCTACTTCGCTACAGTATCGTTGAGCAACCTCATTCCTTTGTGCGCAAGCGCCAAGACCGCACGCAATCACGAATATATTTAGAGTCTAAAAAAAAAAAAAAGAGCAAAATGCCTAAGCGATCCCACGAAGAAAAAGAAGAACGTGGCGTCGAAAATTGAAGAAATACGAAGCCAAACTTCAGGGAACGTCTGCCGTTTATAGAAATGACGAAGAAGTTATGGAAGGTTAGTGATTTTACTTTAGTCCAATGGGTGTTAAGAATCACTATAAAATTTTTTTTTTTGCTCCGAGTTAACACGTGAGGTTAACCTGTAGCCTTTTTTGCTCCGAGTTAACACATGAGGTTAACCTGTAGCCAATTTTGCTCCGAGTTAACACGTGAGGTTAACCTGTAAGCATTCATTACTCAGAGTTAACAAGTGAGGTTAACCAATAGTGCCTTTTGTTTTTTCTCCTTAATGTTAATGTGAGATATTAACAGAAAGCTTTTTCTTTTCTAAATTATAATTTTATATTTACTTACCCACAAGTTATATATATATTTATCATACATTTACCAATAATACATTCTCTCGTTATCAGAAAAACGAGATACGGAACCGGAAGACGAGTGGTATCCGTCTTACGAAGAAACCTCGGATACCTTCA